CACCCCCCAACCTTCCGTCCCCCCTCCTTCCTCTTAACCCTACACCTCATCCCCACCTTCTCATCCAGCACAAACCTCCAAATAACACTAACCCAACTCTCATGCCGCGGGAGAACCTCATAGAACTCCCCCGCAATCTCTCGTAACTTCCAAAGCCTAGTCCAGGGCACAGCAGGAAAATCATGATGCTCATTATGCAATCCCACATTATACGTGAAGAAATTCAGAACACCATAATAACTAAACGTCTCGGGGATCATCGTCTGCGTCAACGGATCAACAGAAGGGGCAGGAGGGTCGAAGATATAGTGTTCAGCGATGAAGTGCCCCGCGCAGGGGTGGAGGGAGCCGGCGAGGAAGGAGCTGAGGATGAGGTAGAGGAGGCTGTTGAGTGTGCACGTTTTGACGAGGAGGATATCGAAGGAGTATTGTACGAGGATGTTGATGTAATGGATGCTTGTGAAGGGGACCGCGTAGATGAACATGGGACGGAGGGCGTAGAAGAGGATTTGGAAGGTGCAGAAGAAGGCTTTTCCGAGGATGGAGTCGAGGAAGACGGCTTCGAGGGGGGTGGGGAGGTCGGTGTCTAGACCGTCGACACCGAGGGATTTGTGGTGGGTTAGGTGGTAGGGCTGTTTTTCAATAATTTGTTAGCATGTGTCTTGTTTCTTTTGTTTCCTTTGCTTCCTCTCAATTGTATCCTTCTGCCAACCAATTCCTCCACATCCCTCGATCCCCAACAACCCGCCATCTGCTACAACGCCTCCCTCCCCCTTCTCCCCTCCCCGTTCCCCTCCCCAAAAGCAGAAAAAAACATACCCTAAAACTCGCCGAATACGCAATCCCAATCGGCAGATTCGCCACCACAGCCAACGCGCGATTCATCCACGCCTTCCTGAAAGCAAGATTGTGGCTAATCTCATGGATCGCCAGGAACAGATTCTGGTTCGCGGTAGCGCCCACGACATACGCCGTGAGGAAGAACCGCCAGCTCAACACAGGAGTGTTTTGTAATAGATATGCGGCGAGGATTTGGATGGAGACGACGAGGAGGACGACGTATTTCGTTAGGGGCTCGGGACCGCAGAGTTTGGTTACCTGGAGGAAGGTTAGCTGGTGGAAAACGGTGGAGGGGAATTGGGGATGTAGAGGGGCCAAAGGGGCAATGGCATAGGATGGGATAGGAAATACCTCAGGATGAGCCTTGATAATAGCCATTCGTCTCGTCCGATGCGGTTCCTCCGTATACGTCCAAAAGAAATCCTTCTCCTTCTCCTTCCCAATCTCCGTCTCTCGCAGATCAACCTCAACCTCCTGCTTCCCCACCACCTGACTCATCCCCTTTCTCTTCACCGTCGTCGTCGCAGAAGTCGTCTTCGACATTTTTATTTTCCCCTTCAACCAATCGACCCTCCCTTCACGTATCGCGTCGTGTACAATTTCGAAAAGGTAGGGGAGAAATCGTAGGTAACAATAGGAAAACGAAGGTTTTGTAGGTAGATTTACGGTACGGTATGCCTTCTCCACCGTCCCCTATCCTATGCCATCCGATCCGCAAAAAAAAGGTGGAGTGGAGATGCGTGTCGGACAGGGATACGAGGCTTCTGGAAAGAGGTTAGTTCCGCTTGGCGGAGCCACATCCAATGCACTGTATTTCAACGTCGTCTCATTGCTCTCCCCATGCAAGATCGTATGTATTTGTGGAATTGTAATTCTTTCGATACCTTAATCTAGCTAGAATTTTTTAACATTCTCTTGCTAAATTACATACCCAGTTCCCCGTACTTAATATCTACCTCCTAGCTCCTTAACCCCCACGGATTCTCCTTATCCAAGATATATAACTAACCAATCTATCCCCCTTTATCTCCCTCCTCTACCCCCTTCACCTTGGAAGGAGGCACGCCTAAATTCCCAAAAAAAGATAAAAACAAAAAAAACAAACACAAAGTAGGAATCCTATCCCATTCCCTTCCACCCACAACCCCATATCCCACCTATCATTCATCGTATCCCGTCATCGCCCTGCAATTCATGAACTCGGAGTTCTTTCAAGAGTTACTATTACAAAACACTCGTCTCTAAACCTTTTGTTCTACGATTTTCAATCACATCAAAATTATAAGACATCATCATCAAAATCATCACAATGACGATCAAAATTGATCCAAGAGTTAGGAAGAGACAAATCATCAATTCTTTCACTAGCTAGCAACGGTCACCCGCTATCTAAATCAAAGAAAGCTATCTAAAATGCCTCCCCCTGGGGTTTTCTCTGAAACGTTTCTCGGAAGCCTAACTAGTAACCTGTGTCTGGTAGATCATCTGCATCGAAAAATGCGTCAAATCAAATCTGTGTGTTTATCTTTGTACTTCAGAATCGAATCACAAAAACATGATCGTTCGTCGTACATCCACCCCCCGCAAAATTCAACCCCTCAAAATCGTTGCAAGCCAATCCACTCAGTCGTAACTTGACCAAAATACAGCAACCCGAAAAGGTCAAATCGTCCCCGAAACATCTTCTCGCACATTCTGCCAAATCATCCCCTTTAAACACCCCCCCCAAAAATGACCCTCCATGAGACATCCCCATACACGAACCGATTGTTGAAGAGAGGAGGGGAATTTCGTTTCTTTTTTTTGTTTTTTTGTTTTTCTGCGTTTTTTTCTGCTTTTCTTTTTCATTCTTTTTTTGTTTGGCTTTTTCATCTTGCTCTTTTATGGTCTTATATAGTTCTTGGAGTATCAGAGAAAGAGCAATACTCAGACATGGACCTCATCGGACTTATCGCCGAGCAGGAAAGTCTCTGGTTTTGAATGGAGACTTCTTGCCCTTTTTGTTAAATTCGTACTGGAGTTCTCGTGCAGCATCCATTGAACCTCCAAGTTCAGTTTGAGTCGGCCCTGATCTGATATTCGTGTTCACCGAACTTGGACCCATTGGTTGCGGTTGGGTAATGGTAGAGTTGCCACGCATCACTCTCTCGGGAGTGGGTGGTGATACACGCAATGATGATCGGTCCCAGGATAGTTTGCGCAAAGTTCCAGGACTGGGTGGAGCCACTTGATCAACCTCGTCATTGTTCTCGGCATCAGACTCATCCTCGCTGCTGCTTACGAGGTAACCCACTCCAAGACGTTCTGCTTGAACCCAATCCTTGTGTTTCTTTTCTGGGAACTTTTTGCGACGACGCTTGACGGGTGCAGTCGAAGTGGTTGAAATCAGACCTGATGGTTGACCGCTGCCGTTGGATGGAGAGACATTACTGTTTCCCGCGTACTTTGATGTATTGAGATTCCCAGCGTCCTTTGATGTACCGAGATTTCCAGCATACTTTGATGTATTGAGGTCTCCAGCGTACTTTGATGTATTGAGGTCTCCAGCGTACTTTGATGTACTGAGACCTCCAGTTGGCTTCAAGGGTCCTTGTGGCTTGGAAACTTGACTCGAGGACTTTTCAATCCCAGTATTATTGCCAGACTGATTTGGAACCATCTTATCAGGATATGGTTTTACTATTCGACCTGAAGATTTGATTGCCGACTCATCGGGCTTTGGTGGAATAGCATCAGGATCGGGCTTTACCATTGGACTTGAAGACTTCATAGCCGAATCATGGGGCTTTGGTGCAATGGCATCGAGACCTAGTTTGATGATTAGACCTGCAGGCTTTGCACGCAGCTCATGTAGATAAGGCAGTCTAGCTACGCCCTCTTGAATCGCCTCATTCTCATTTGTAACAGGCTTTGTAGCAGGTTTTGGAGCCTCAACAGTGGTATTCTCAAATTTGGGCAGGGTCGTGGTCGCCAATGTACGTGCAGTAGCTGCGGTCACCTCGCGAGACTTGAGCACATCACGAGAAATCAGCATCTGTTCGAGAACTTGCTTACCAAAAGCAAGTGGTGGCCCAGTGACACCCTCCGGTGCATACAGAAAGAAGGTCGGGGCGCTTTGCACATAGTCCTGTAACATCTTCTGTGCTCCTGCCACAAGCTCTTCATTTGCAAGAATTGCTGCTTTAGGAGACTGAACATTTAGTAATGATTGATTGAAGTTATCAAACAAATGCTGCAACGCGTTTTGTTTGTATAAGGCTTCGAGACCGCCCGCAAAGATATGCGCCATTCCGGCTTGGGAGAAATGCTCCAAGAAATCTTCTGCATCCTTTGATAGGGCACCCACGGCAACATCAGTTGGGATTTCCGCAGTTGGGGTTTCCGCAGTTGGGATATCCACAGTTGGGATTTCAGCAGTTGACGAATGGCCGCATGATTCAATTCTGGTTTCCGTCGTCTGCAATATAGAAGTTGCCGGTCGATGCTTATCGGTCAGGATGATTTGTTCCAATGCGATAGCGAGCTCCACAGTTCTCAGCTTTAGCCGTAAATACTTATGTTCTCCCGCCAAAGGACCAATGCTGACAAGTACTAATTTCCTACGTTTGATGTCGAGGTCGTGGGGGAGGACCTGATCAAAGACAGTAACAGTCGTATTATCGGGCGAAACGTCCTCAACTTTGTATTCTCGAGGGCTATTGCTGTCTTTAGACGAGACAATCAACTTTCCTCGTCGGAAAGTACCATCGTCAAAGCACCATTCTAAATCCTTCCACCCCATGACTCTCTGACGACTCTGATCTACCTTTGGCAAGTTGGCGATGGGTTTAGCTGTGTTAGCCGCTGGAGATAATACAGTTTCGGGAGCCTCAAGAGCTGGAGCACCAGGAGAAGCCTCAAGAGCTTGAATTGCGAGAGATTTCGCCTTCATCTTACTTGCATACCATTCAAGGTATTCCTTCGTGGCATATTTCGAAGTTTCGAGTCCTCCCGGAGGCTTCTTTGGGGACGTGAGCAGAGATGGAACACTGACTTGTTGAGATGATTCCTCGGGTTGACTTTCCGCGACCGGTGAAGCCAATTTCTCGGTGTCATACTGGGCAGTTGACGGAGCCTGTTGGGCGACGGCTGATGAAGGTCCAGTCCCTGGAGTCTCTGGAGCTGCAGGACGGGAAGAAGGAAATGCGACTGAAGGCTGATTGTCAATTGTGTTTGGGCGAGGGCGAGCCGCAAAGATCTCCTCTGTCGTCCATAGCTTCGGTGGTGGTAGTCTTGGTACCTCCCGTACCCCCCGAACACGATTGTCAGTCTGTGCTGGTCTTGAACGATCTGCAGAATGGGAATCACGTGGACTCGCGGGTTGGCCCAGAGTGTCTTTGAGATTGTCGACACGTTTAGACGCATCTTTGATGTATTTCGACTTTTGAAGATCGAGTCCACCGCGTGCACTGGATTTTAATGTAAGCATCAATCCCCATGAAATGAAATAAGTGTTTCAAGTACATACCCTCGACCACCACGGCCCCCATGTCCACCACGTGGTGATGGTTGACCTCTTGGAGGAGTTGAACCTTGGTCCGCAGTCTCTTGCAGTCTGGCCGCCTTCTTTTGGCGGTATAGCTGCCCCCCAGCGATATCGTCTTTGCCGGCATCTCTGGCATCTACTGGGCCCAAATTTAGATCTAATTGTTGTTAGTATATACTGTGTGGATATGTATCTTGGAAGGACTTACCATTCCAGGCTTTGATACGGCTATGGGTTTCTTCGTCAACCGGTTGTGGCTGTTGATACAGCGGCAATGACCCGTGGAACTGAGGTTGACGACCGCCGCGGCCATCATCAAGGTGAAGCTGATTATCTCTGGCACAGCCTAGATCCTCCTGTGAAGTGTTAGCAATGATGGAGAAATGGCTTGATGCGCGCGCTGTGTGGCTTACCATCATGGCCAAAAAGACAGGTGTGGTCCCTTGACCAGCCTGCACGGCTTCCTGCTTTACAAGTTCGGACATCTTGTCTATTACAACTGTCAAGTCGAGCAATGATGTTTTGTTTGATAAACAGTTGTTTGAAACCCTCGGGAATATGGAGATAAGCGGAAGGGGCTCTCAAAAAAGGCGATTTGCTGATATAGTCACTACGTGATATTGTTGTGAAGGGAAGAGGAATACTTACAGGTATTTAGGTGTAGGTCGGTTGAAGAATTCGTGCGGAACTTCACTCGGGTGCAGTGAGAGATGCCAGAAGGACTGTTTAGCAGTAATGATGAGGTGAGGTGTGAGTACGAAGAGTGGTGACAATTGAGATCGAGAATGGAGAGCGCGAGGCTTCCTCTCTCGGAAGTATGGGTGGTATGGGTAGGTTGAACTTGTAAACTGTGCAAGGACTCGGATTCTCCCTCATAGAGCAAGGAGGAGCGAAGACTACAACTCGGAGGTCAATAGCACTGATTGAAACTTGAGTGCAAGCAGGTAAAGCGTTCTGTGGTGCGGTTAGTAAGGGCAGGCTCTCGAATCCTCGAGGCAGTGCACGTTGAGAGACGGCGAGAGACTCATCGTAAGGACATGAAGGGTAGCAGGAAGACAGAGGAGACGAGAATCAATCACAGAGACATCACAGAGATCGGTGCAGGTAGGGTGGGACTACAGTAGATGTAGATTGAGGTCTTTGAGACCGTGTCAAGTTGTGATGGGCTGTGATGTAAGGCTTGCGAGACCAAAGAGCGCACGCAACTTACCAATCGATGAGTGGGATGGGTGCGATGAACGCCTAAAGAACCCCAGCTGCTTTAATAGCGTATTACTGGAGTTGATGAGATTGTCTGGATGGATGCTTTCAATACAGCAGGAGATTGCGGTGTGGATGAGAGAAAAAAGGGTTTGTGATTGTGTGTGGTGTGGTGTTGTGTTGGAGAGGAAGAGGAAGAGGAAATGGGGGAAGGAGCAAGGGGTACGATATTGGTGTGCACGAAACCGCGGTGGGCGACGAGAGGGCAAGCGCTCACCGCACCAACAAACCGAGTCGCTCCTTCCACCACTACCAAAACTTGAGAATTTTCCTTCATACCGAATCTATTCACTGACAATTTTGGTATGACAGAAGTCAATTATTGGTTCTCTACAGCATTTCTGTCTATGTCACTTTCTTATCTTCGAGAAAGAGTAGCCGATTTGGACTTGATCATGGGCCATCAGCTACAGGTTTGGTGACACGATGGACGGCTTTTGATAAGAAAATCTCTCAAGTATTGTTTCAGCTTGTGAAGGTAACGTTTTCAGAAGCGTCTGTTGATTTGGTTTGAAATTGCAGCTCTAATTGTCCTAGATGTGGCGTTGAAGTGTACGAATCGGTGTTGTTCCCAGACTCGACTTCAAAGAAGTAAGATCTTACACTTCAACACAAACGATTGAGTAATTCCCCAATGTTGTTCAACTTGTAAACCTAAGAGCCTGCTACCTTGAAAATGAAGCTATAACTACTGGAGAACTGTGGTTACTTAAACCAGCCGTTTCGTAACCAATCAATGCTCATTCCACGAAGACACAGCCCACCAGCCGTCAAGCCTCCACCTGCTACCTCAACGCCCTGTAAATCTACCCCTCATCTCATCTGAGCAGGGTTTCCAAGCCTCTCATCCCTGCACGTAAACAAAAGCAACTCTACCCTTGATCTTCCATCATCTTCCAGCAGGAGGACCAACCAAACCAGGGCACCACGTTCACCCTCAACCGTAGCTAAAACAGCGACACTTCTCTCTCCCGAGTTTACCCGTTGCGGGGTCCACCACCCCTCGAAGCCTCAAGAAAAGTGCAGCGACTGCTACTGTTCTCTTGTTGTGGAGGTGTGCAGAACAAGTAACTAATTGAAGTGTTTGACGTTGAGAAATGCTTATTTTGATCTGTCTTGAATTACAAGTGATGCACCCAATGAGAGACCAGCCCAACCGATCCAGTCACAACACTGCATACCATTAGCCGATGATTAGCCTGTGAACCCAGCCCCTTTTGGTCCCTAAGAAGACAAACAAAATCGCTCACAGAACATGATTTTCAATTCGGCTATTTTACAAAACCAAATGACACTGTTAACAAACACTTCAACACAACACCACAGCGCTGAGACGCTAGGTAATAAGTTGTTGTGCTGGGTCTACTTTCTCTTTTGCTCCACTTCCTTATTTGATCCACTTATAGTTCTGCTGCCTAAATGCTTCATGTCTGCCTAAACCTTACACTCTTTATATAAACACCTTAGATAGCTACCTTTTACAATGCAATCAATTCTCCATGACCTTCAGTACCCAATACCCTTTCAACCCAATATAAGTCCTCGGTACAATGATGCAGTGCGTGATACAGATGCAGGGTAGTTTATAGAGGCGTCGTAATTCTCTGCTCGCGCTAGTTGTCGCCCCCCTCGTAGTCCACGGCACCACCACCGTGCTATCCCCTGACCCCCACCACCCTACCAGCCTCCAACTCTTCAAACCATCTCCTCCTTTCACACTTCCATCAACTCGCCATCCTTGGTGGATATCGCGACGAATCTGCTTCGCTTCCTCTCTTGCAGAGAGATCAAATCCCACGATCTCTTGGTCGCGATTTTGCTAGGGATGGGTTGGAGATACAATTCCTCGCAATCAACATCTCTGGTAAGCTTCTCCCACCTCTCCTCCATCTTCCCATCCTCCATACACCTTTCATCCATTCCTCTTCGCATGGTAAATCGAAAGTCGCAAACTTACTGACGAACTGACGCTTCGCAGTCCTCGTCACCATCAAAACAAAGCGCGAGTTCAAGCTCATCCCATGGAATGAATTCAGGAGCACACGCAATGGCAACGCTGTCCGTAAGTATGCCATCATCTATCTTCTTGTATCATCGAGCTAATCAATTACAGAAAGGCTACACAGGTCACCTTGTGTGCCTCGTGGGAGGTACACCTCCACGCAATGGCAGCTGTCCGTAAGTCCTCCTCGTCCCCTCTGATCCCTCCGAAGTATACTGACAGCTCCCAGGAAAGGTACTCAAGTACCTTGGTCCACAATGACCGAAAACTACGCTGAGGCCCTACCGTCCGGTCGCTTCAGAGTCCCGACACTTGCACTCTCCAAAGGAGTGGGGGGGGGGG